AGCTATTATATGCTCAATATAAATACACTGCTAGTGAATTTACTACAGAAATGCGTTAAAATAAGGACGAAAGGAATTACCAGGTATTAATACTTGACTAATAATACTAGTAAAACAGGTATGTACATGTGTACATATTCACTTATAGATTATATGCAGATAAAGATATACACAATCACACGTGCATGATTTGATACACACACACACGCATTTAGGATGGGTGTTTAGTTATTTGAACCAGCAGGTAGTCTGATCTTTAGCCAGAAGAAGGAAAACTTTCTGTCTGATTTTAGACTGATGTCTCTCCCCGCTGGAAGTCTGAGAAGGTGGACGAAGGCCAAAGTGATAAAAAGCAAGATGCCTCAAAACAGATTACTTGTGTGCCAAAATAGAGGTTCCACTGGCAGTCAATGTTACAGACTGGGAGGAAGCTGTCCATCTCTTAGTTTCTGTCCATCAATTTAAAAAAAAATCTATTTGTTCATATTTCCTTTTATCAAAGCGAACCAGCCACTCAAACTGCTTATCGGTTTTTCAAAGCTTCTTCAGGAACAGCTATTTCAGAATATTGGGTGTCGTTGAGAAAATTTTTTTTTTTAAATACAGTTTCAAAATGGATAAAAGTTTTCCTTATTCCTTATTTTTACACTTATTGTTAAAAAAATATTGCCACTACGCAAGAGGAAGAGACGGAGAGAGATATTCAATCTAAACAACTTCACTTTGACACTTGAAGCAAGAAAGCCTTCTTTTTCGAGACCGTTATCATTAACACAAACAATATTGCCACCAAAACACACACATATATATTTTTTTCCTATATATATATATATATATATATATATATAAAATGTGTGTGTGTGTGTGTAACATGTACATACGCACTCTCACACAAATTTGTAATAGAATACAACAGAAACGGCAAGTGAAACGCTTACTGTTTTGAGAGAAGCAGTTATGTAAATAAAAAGTGTTCAATGTACCTTCAGATAATAGAACATAAAAAGCAATACAAACTATTCTCTAAAATATAGTTAATAAAATACCAAACCTTACTAGAACCATGGATCATCAGGCAGTGAAAGTTAGAATATTTTTTCTATTTATTTTAACATGCTCACATAGGTACCGTCGGTGAGAGGAGGGGGAAAAGATCGTAATAACAAAATATGACGTTCTATACCAATTCATAATTTGCCAGGAGTAATTCTGTGTTTGCACGTTACCATTACTTCGGATCTTATATTTAGTAACATACCTTGACTTGGGCATTTTATCGCATAGTTTTTATTACCTTTTATTAAACATATTTTATAAAAGAGATTATATATATTATTAAATATAACAGACAATGAATAACTATTATGTCTGATCATGAACCGTTCTAATGCTTCTTTAGTTTCTGATGAAAATAAATACAAAAATTGTCCAAAATTTAGATATATTTTCATTAAGTTGACTCTAAGCTTTCGGCTCACATAATCCATCCTCAGAGTGGTTATACAGACATGAAACAAAGATATCCACCGTCAAAGATAATACATCCTTATTTTGACATAGAAGATTGCTATGCGACGATAATGGTTGCAGAAGAGCAGAGACAGATCGTAAGTTCAAGATGCGGTTCTATGACGTCATACCATACGAAACGCCGAAGAATTACAACAGAACCAATATCAAGATGCAATGTAATGTGTTGTGACCAATTCGAAATGTAATTTTGTTGAGTGTGGGTTATTTCGTTTTAATGAAGATGGACTCCAATATCTGAAGATTCATTTTACTTTGTGTATGTGTAAGTATTATTGTGTTAAAAACTAATATCTGCCTAATATGTACATGACTAGGTTTTTCTAAAAAATGTTGCTTAATAGAACTAAGATCAGAAAGGGGACAGGTAAGTCTACGGGAGATCGTGGTTGTAGTAAAACCATTATATGTAGCGGGTTATCAGAGGTACAATCTCTGAACGTGCGTGTAAATTACTTAATAAAAATATCCAAATTTTGGACAATTTCTGTTTTCATTTTCACCAGAAATTAAAGCAAACGCTCGAACAGCACATGATCAGACATAATAGGCATTCATTGTCTGTTATATTTAATAATATATGTTTAAATAATGATCTGCTGCTTTATACATTAATATATACATAAAGAGAAATAGTAAGGTAAGGCAAAATACGTCACGCACACGTAAAATATTACACACAGACTTATAGCATATCTACGGTTCATTACTGATAAAAGGACCATGTAACTATATTTAAATCAGTTGGACAGTTCTTATTTTACAACTATGATTGGAAGATCACATTCAGACATAAGTCAGATTTTTAGCCATGACGAAATCTGGTCCAACAAGCATTAATTTACATTATTCTTGTATTATTTCGAACTATTGCGATTTACTAAGTGTAGCATAGATGTGGCAAAAAAGGCCTAATTTATAAAACATCCAGAGAGGTCTGAACTCACCACGCATGGTAACTGATCTAGCCTGATAAACTTGCTAAACATTACACCAACACAAAGTGTCCTATTTCGAACTATCGCCCTCATTATTTTGTTATTGCAGTTTCGACCAAGTACCTTCTGGTTATCATAAGATGTCCATTGATATGGGATATCTGTTGAGTGTGTTATTTTTGTTTCTGATGTCATTGATTGTTCGTGCCTGTTGAATTGGTGCATCACTACTTGAACCAGGGATTGAACTAATCTGTAGATGACAGTAACACACGTAGAACCAAATCTTATATCAACTACGCCTCAGTCTAGGACATTAGTGTTGTATTTTGGAGCCTTTTTTATATTCAATAGGACAATGATCAACAGATCCAATATCAGTCAATCAATGGGCATCTGATGATGACGTGAGGTTACTTGGTTGAAACTTTGTGTCGATAATAACATTTATATCAACCAAGATAAGAACAATAGTATATAAGAAGAAGAATAAAATAATATTGAAAATTATTCATCTCAATATTGAAATACTAAATTATTAATTTACAGCTACTCTTGTGTACGAAATATAAGTGCCGGCACGATTAAATTATATCCTTCAATTAGTCTCATCCAGGCACGTTTATTATTTTTCAAATAATTTTCTCCGCGGTGCGATTGTTTCGTTACACGTTTATATATATATATATATGGAAAATAAAAAGACAAAAGGAAAATTAATCTTAGCCGATGCATTTTGTCCTTTGAGACCTTATCAAGACAAAGTTACGGATTTTATTTTGTGAAAAGTATTTACGTATAAGAGCGAAAGTGATATTGGTTTCTCAAAGTTTTTGGCATAGGGATGCTCATGAATATTCATCAAGTTAGCGGAAAAGTCTTAGAAGTTCATAGACGTGAGGTGATACAGTTCAATGATTAATAAATGAATGCGAGTAGGATGTATTTTTTAAAAGTAAAATTCTTACATTTGCCTTGATAAAGACCCTCAGAGGACGAAACGCACTGGCTAAGATGCTTTCATATTGTCGTTTTACAGATGTACTGTTTCTGAAGATTTTGTACACAAACACACACTGGCTATATTTCTGAGATGAGGTATTATGTACATTATTTACATTATTCGGACTATTGTCCTCATCTTTGTCGCCATATTTATCACAACGTTTCGGCCGATGTACGCTCCGGCCTTCTTCAGTTGGTTCGACATTCCAACCACCTGCAGAAAGCCGGAGCGTACATCGGCCGAAACGTTGTGATAAATATGGCAACAAAGATGAGGACAATAGTCCGAATAATGTAAATAACAAACACACACATATAAGTTAATGTCTCATTCCAGATTATGTAGATAGACTTTGCACAATTTCCTATCAGATGCAGGGTTGAGCTGAGATTTTCTCCTAGCCACCGAGTGCAGAGCTACATGCTGGTCCAGATGCATCTGGATTGCAAGCAGAGGAAAAAACAGGAGATAATGGGAGATATATAAAACTCCACCCCAGAGGAGAGATTGGTCGAGTCTTTCTGACCTCGCACACAAGAATGTCACGTCCACATTAGGGTGTTTGTAGGGGGGGGGGGATTAGTTACACTTCTACGAATTGGCCGACAAAAAAAAATATTGTCGCGATATTAGAGTTTAAATAAAAATTGTAAGTCTCGACATAGCGATATCATATAAAAATTGCCAACGGAAACTTTATTTGCACCCAGGCGTTAATTTATAAATATTTCCGCCAGTATGCCTATTCCAGAGAAGATTAAAGAGTAGATAAATAGCATTCGTTTTATTTATTTTAATTTTATTCTGGCTTTGCTTTTGCAGGTCATGCTACGAGTGATACTCGTATTGTGTAATCTAGTACTGTCACATAGTGGGGTCATCGGTGTGGCTTTTCTGGTGTGGAGAGTCGCTAAACACTGAAGAAGATTAAAAAAAAACAAGAGCTATAAAAGAGCGGATGAACATTCTTGTAGGGTCAACGGCTATCTAGCACAATGGGGTAAACTGGGCTTTATAGCTAAGTATGCAGTCATTACGGTGATAACACAACATCGCAGGGCGGAAGGCTTCCTAAACTGAAGACAAAGGCCAGGGCGGAGAACTTCCCCTTACAGAATCAAAGTCCGTGACGAAGATAAGTTTTTCAAGTTCGAGGACATCGTCTATAATTTAACATGGGATCCATCAGATCTACTTGCCAAAGATATGCTAGACATAAATCGATACCTCGTCAACTTTTAAATGGAATGAACAAGTCAAGTGTTCAGAAGTGCAGCGACCCTACGACCACACTCATTCACGGAACTGGTGACGATTTATTTTATCATAATGCTATTACATTATTGCCATTAGAATTTGTTTTGAGATAATAAGAATTTACTGATAAAAGTCATACTAATGAACCTATAGCTGAGGGAGAAGAAGCGGATTCCTACGTTTCCCAAGAGTATTTTAACCCAAGTGAATAAACCGAACCCTATTTCCAATTCCGAGAAGTTATCCATTTCACCACCCGCACATCCAAGCCTACAGCACCTGATATTTCCAAACGATCACCCATCTATGTACAGACCAGGCCCGTTGTTGCTTAATTTCGGTAATCGTACGAGAACCGGTGTTTCAACGTAATATGGTCGTAAGCCGGATTTACTAGCAGCAATACTCTCGCCGGCATAGCTCTAAGTATTGCTAGGATACGCAAGCATCTATCACAAAGGCGAAAACCCTTGGTGAGATTGTATATTATTAGATGCCTATTAAAGTAAATCTTAAGTACATTTTCTTTCTTTTTTTTTAATTAATGTTTTTTTTTTAAACTCTTATTACTTAAGAGATAATTTGATTTAGTGTCATATTAACTTTATTCAATATCGAAAATAATTTTCAATATCTTTCCATTCTAGATTCTTAAATTTTACCAATACGATTATGATACGATTAGATATGAAAAGAATATGAATTTGCAGAGTTGATTTGAGTTTAATGTGCCTGAACAATTGGGTAATCTTCAAGAACAAAGATGCAATGATGCAATAAAGTTTGCCTTATTAAAAGAGGGCGAAAATCCCTTAAATAAATCGGCCGAAGGAACTATGTCACGCGAAGTACTGTAATAGGTAAAGAGATGTGTGTTGGTAGGCTGAAGGATCACTGATGAATCAATGGAGACATTGTCCCTCTTGCCGAAGACGAGCGTGTCTGTAATGTTTATAATAGAAATTATCGGCTCAAAAGTTACATTCAAGCTGAGCACTGTAGAATGGTATGATTTCAGTCTATGACTATATTCGGAAATAAGACACAGACACCCACGTATATATGAACCAGAAAACCTTCTAAAAAAGAAGTCATCTGCTCAGATTTTTGGTTAGGTCGAGAGATCTTGAAAACCCATATCCGCGTGTGTATATATATTATAAAATTTGCTATATTTTGGTGGTGCCTGTTATCGGAGATATAACGTTTCTAGATATGGAGTGAAGAGATAGTTAACAACACAGGCAAAGTTGATTTCTCTGTACCCACTATGTATGTATATATATATATATATATATATATATATATATATATATATATATATATATATATATAACGACGACATTCTACACGCACGCACACCTACAAGTATAAGCAGTTAATTGCTGATACCCCTGACGAGTGTACAAAAATCTGGAGTCAAAATGCCGAAGGTAACGTCAATCAGCTAAGTGACAAGTCTTTTACTTGTATTAATTCTCTCTCTCTCTCATATATATATATATATATATATATATATATATATATATATATATATATATATATATATATATCCTCAGTGCGGCTAATGTGTACACCGGTAATTATAAAAAAATCAATTTTTAGTTATTATGGTAACTATGTTTTACCGCACGAATCCAGTATTATGTATGCACTAATCAAATTTTGGTATATAAAATATTTAGCGCACCAATCGAAAATGCAATAATCGAGAGATGCCTGTATATATTATGGCTTGGTTTTGCGAAAGAGTATTTGGGAATGTATTTCGTGTCCATAAAACGTTCTCAGATGCGTAACAAGGCCCGTGCGGGTGATGGATATCCTACTTAACCGACTCTTTGTTGTTGTTACCTTGTGCCACCGGAGGTGTACGTTTATACATCTTTTGGTTGAAAGTACGTACGTATTATACCGTTTAATTGCCCCGCATAAAATAGAACTGGTTTGACTTTACATAGCGGATAATTATTGTGCTATGGAATAAGGCCGAAGGTCTTTTAACGTAAATACATAAGAACTCTCTGCAACATCGCAGTTTAAAACTATAACCACAAGGGAATGGGATCTCGTTTAAGTACAATAGGAGCGCTTTTCGCTGGAAGTGAATCTCTGTTAAGAATCTATTATTTGACGACACTCACTTGAAATAATAAGAGGGAATGATAATTATCAGAACGAAATACCCTATCAGAATGACATAGAACAATTTTTTTTTTCAGCAACCATTTATTTCATAGGATTTATCCAAAGAGGCGTTTGACGAAAAGAAGTTATATAAAGAGAAACAATACTTTTGGCTACATTAATCTTATTTACATTCCCCTTTCTAATGTCCTCACTTTCTTACCTTTTCGTCAGTTTGAAAGCTTTCTTGAGAAAGGTAACTCTAGATATAGACGAAATAAAAGTTGATTAAACATTTTATTTTATAAGATAACTATAAGTCGTGATTTTTTTTGTCCAACATTTACAATCAACAGGCTTGTACTGCGTGACATACAGAAGTCCGATAAGGAACGATCGACGAGACAATCGAATTGAATTCAGTAACAACATTTTCACGCTTATTCAATAATAGAATGTGATCAGTAATTACCAATCAGTTTAGTAACCAAAACATCAATAAAGAGTCTTAAAGATTACTTCAAAGAAACTAGGATCTTAATGATTTCTCCTATCAAAGCAACAGACGCTTTATACTTACTCCTCTTTGTTCATAAGAACAAAGGCTTAACATTGCTAAAGTGAAAGAGGAAAAATGATAAAAAGCAGTGATTAATCGTCCAGCTTTAAATATACATCTAAAAGCTAAAGCAACACCAACGACATATTTTATTTTGGATTTGTGATGCAATGAAAAAAAAAAAATAAATAAAAGAAGCAAACCACACCGTTTTACCATATATTTCCGAAAATAAAAGGATCGCCTACTTAGAAGAATTTAAGGATGGAAAGCAAATAACGTGTTCTGCAATAAAAAGTGTGCAATGAGGAAAGAGGGCTTAGAAAATCTAATACTCTCAAGATAGATTGAAGGCAAGAGGGACAGAGGAAAACAACGCATAACCTACTAAGTGAGCTTGAATAAATGAACGGTGCAACAAGGTTTAGGAGAGACAGCAAAAAGACAAAATTTATTAATAGCTACAAAAGACAGGAAATTATGCAAAGATAATATCGCCTACGTTTTGAAGATTCACGACACATGGAGAGAAATTATATATTGGGATTATATGATTTATATATATATATATATATATATATATATATATATATATATAGAAAAACTTACATAGATACTATTATCAGAAATGCGAATGCACTTCCGCACACATCTGTTACTGCCGTTTTCACGTTCTTTTGCCAGTAGTTGTAATCATGAGTTTTTGTGGCATATTTCTGGGAACACTAATACCATAGTCACTTTCAAATAGTAAATGTTATTTTACTTCGAAAGAGGAGAATTTTTATCCCTTACGAGTGGACATGGAAAAACTTGCTTAGCGCACGTTATGACAATATTGCCCCTTATAAATTTTGACAGCAATCAGAAAAAAATATGACAGCTGATGAATCAGTAAAAAACAAAACCCTACATTTTAAACCGCGGACGTAAACACACATCATATCCATACTGTCATAACAATACGAAAACGACGTGTAGAAAAATATAGTTACTCACTTTTACTCAATATATCATCTGGAGAAACATCTTATTTCAAAACACTGAACAGTATATGAAGAAAAAAAAAAAACAAACTTCGTATACAGGAAGAGAAAAGCGGGTAAATCTTTGTGTGTGTGTTTGTGTATGTGTGTGTGATTACTATGTTAGTTTCCCTGTGTATATTCAAGTTTACTATGTGTTTTCGCTTTCAAAATTGGCTGGCTTGATATATATTCTGTCACTTTATCAGATTTCACATCAAAAGTAAGTAACCTTTCATTGGCCACATGCATTCGCAACCACACACAGCGAGAAGACAGTCTTATCTTAACACATTCTGGATATACACACACAAAATTGAACTCCAACCCGTAATATTGCAACACTCTTTCGCGACTCTAATTTGAAGAGCTACTTGTGACATATTTGTGTGACACATGAATAATAACGATTTTTAGGTTTGAGAACAAAACTTTGAAAGCATAAACATAATCCTCACGCAAGAAAATTTACGAAACTCGTTAAACTGAATGAATGGAGAACTTAAATGCCTTTGAAGAGATAAAAGAAAAACCGATAAGACTTGAGGAACATCGGAAAGTTGCTATGGAATGGCTGATGATTATATATTGAAGGAGAGACGAGATCATTAACCACATTAAGAGAAAGCCGAAATAATTGAGAAGGAAGAGCCATGGAAAAATGAGGATGTTGAAAGAATCAGCACACATGCTATGCTAAATGTTATCATTCGGTCATAATCCATGGAAATCACTGATCAGAAAAAGCTGCTAAAGCTGAGGTTTCAAAAAAATAGTGACAACTGAAAGAAGTGTGAGCGCACCTTCAGAACAATTTTCAGCTTTTAAAAAATTGCGTCATACACCCGTGGAAATTGTAGTGATCAGTTGCCAAAAAAACAAAAAAAAAAAAAAAAAAAAAAAAAAAACACGTAAAATATATCGTAAGTCAAAAGAATAAGTTTGTCCAATGCGATTAGTAGAACACTTTGTCTAAATGTATTCCATAGTTATAAGTTAGATAAGTATTGTGCAAATGACAAAATGGAGATGTGGCACAATTTTCAAATTTATTCAAAGTCGTACTATACGATGGGGTAATGGATAGCGGCTCGGATTGAGGAATCGTTCGAATTCCAGTCGAATCAATTACATTCACTTACGTGTTAAATATCCTTGGGAAAGGTATGAATCCTCTTCTCCCACCAGCTATGGGTAAATAGCAGGACAGACTGGGTTCTATAACCTTTAAAATTTATTCTTTCAAAATGTAAAATCATAAAGTTATTGAAGTGATAAACTTGGGCTCTTTTATAGGCTGTAACCCTTCAGGACGTTGGTGGCCATGGCTCTCCACAATTTCCAGCCATTTGTAGCTCTTAATTGTTTTTGTTGTTATATCTCCTAAACGCTATTCTACCATCTCTTTACTCAAGCTCGCTAGGTAGGTGATGTGTCATTTTCATCTGCTCTCTAGTATTCATTTTGTCTTGTGTGTATCAAATTTTCCAAGCCGATTTTCTTCATTATGTATTGTAGAAATTTCAGTTGTCAGCGTAAGTGTCCTTTGCGTTTCTATTTTCTCTAAAATTAAATTAAACGACATTGTTTTTTTTTTTTATAATAATGAGACCCGTCTTTTTTTTTTAAAATTATATTCAAGTCAAACGGTAAACATTGGCCTGAATTATAC